AATTTTCATGGAAAAAGATATCTATATGTATTTCCATAACAATTACAAGAAACGTAAAATTTTAATTTCATAAAAATTTTCGATTAATAAAAAAAGTTCAAATTATTATGAAGTACGTTTATTTTATTTTTATTTTATAAATATGTCATTTTAGGAAGCGTATTTAGAAACACGTGGCACCGAATATACATAGTATATGGTAGCAGAGTTCCGATAAATCCAACGCTTGCATAAGACTTTAAGGTTAACTACATAGAAATTAATTGTAATATTATAAACTTTATTAATTGTGTAGAATCTATATTGAATAATTAACAATACATTGTATGTGTGTTAAATTAATATAATAACATGAGACGATATTTTATTAAATTTTCATATATCGGCACAAAATACAGGTACATTTATTTCTAATAATTTAAAATATGAATAATTTTTTATACTTTTATACTCTATACAAATTATAGAATATAAATAGTAAAATTTAAAGATAAACTTTTCTATATCAATTTATAAAATGTTAAAACATAAATTTTTTTTGTGTGTTTAGAGGAATGCAAAAAAATATAATTCCATCAGCAAAGGTACGAATAAATGATACTGAGACTATTCAAGGAGCTATAGAAGGTGCTTTCTTGAAACTAATTCCACAAGTTTTAAGTTGGCCAATATTAACTTGCAGTAGTAGGTAGTACTTTCATATATTGCCAGATATTAAATACATATATATGTAAAAAACAAATTGTATTATGAAGCTATCAAATTGTAGGACAGACTCTGGTGTACATGGACTCTGTAATATAGCTCACATTGATATAGAACACAAGTATGATGGTATTTATAATCCTTATGAATCACTTAGGAATTTAAATAGGCATTTAATTCTGTGTGATCATGATATAAGGTAATCAAATATTTAATAGTTTTTATATCTTTTGATCACTATAATATATTAATAATATATTTGCTTTAAGGATATTGGACTTGATTCCAGTAAAGAATACTTTCCATGTAAGATACTGTGCAAATTCTAGAACTTACCTTTATAGAATTCTAAAAGCAAAGGATGTAAAATATCATAAAATTCCTATAATAGAAATGGAACGTTGTTTTCATTTTAGGTATAACCTAAATCTGTATTCTGGTGAATGAAAAATTTTTGGTGATTTATAAATAAATAATTTTTTATGAATATTATAAATTGTTACAGATCAGAGACTTTTGATTTCGAAAGAGTAAGCCGTGCAACACAACTTTTTATAGGATTAAAAGATTTCAGAACATTTTCTGCAAACTCTAAATCAAATATTCCAATTAGGTATGTAAGGAATCTGGACAGTTTAACCTTTGAAAAAGGTTCTCCACTTATGCCATATGATTCTCTCTCTGAAAATTTTGATTTCTGGGATTTTAAATGTACAGCCAAAGGTTTTTTATATAAACAGGTATGACTAGAAAATATTTTATATATAAATATTATTTTAAACAATATATGTAATGTTATACATTAAAATATAGATAATAATATTAATATCTTAATAATATTAATATCTATATTTTATTAATAATAATATAAATAAAATTATTAAATATAATGAATAATATAAAAGTATTAATAATATTAATATTTATAATGTATGTATTTTTTGAATTAATTCTTTTGCAGGTTAGAAAAATTGTAACTGCTTTACTTGCTTTAGGAATAGGTAAAATAACAGAAAAAGATATAACTGTAATGTTACAAGTTCCTGGACACAAGAATTACATGACTTCTTTGGGACTAGTTCCACCACATGGTTTATATCTCTGGAATGTTGGATATAACCAAGACTACTTGGACGAACATACTATAAAGTATAGAATATCCGATGATGGTATAGTTATACCATTAAATGAGGATTAAATATAATGTACATTTAAGAATACATATAAATATCGCCAAATAATTTTTTTAATTATTTTAATTTATTTTACCTTTTTTAAAAATACTATTTGTATAATAACAATGGATTTAAATAGTCTAATAAAAAGTAAAAAGGTACAATTGAAAAAATGCAAAACTGTTGTAACCAACATGTTTGGTCAAAAATATGAAGAGATTAATGGAATAAAAACAGAATTGTCTCTTACAGGAATACCATTTGTTATAGACGAGAGACCTGATTTACAAATTGCATATATACTACCAGGATTGTATTTAAGTTCCCAAGATCCTGTTATAAGCAAAGAAATTTTGCAAAAACATGAAATTCATCATATTTTAAGCATTGGTATTGATGCATCGATAAAATTTGATGACATTAAATACTATTATTGTGACTTGTTAGATTTACCTGAATCTGATCTTTCTATAGCAATTAAAAAATGCATTAAAATCATAAATGAACATCGCAATGAAAATATTCTTGTGCATTGCAATGCTGGTGTATCTCGTTCTCCAGCAATTGTTATATCTTACGTAATGGCTTACGAAAAAGTCTCATACGATAATGCATATACTAAAGTAAAAAATGTAAGAAATTGTATTAAACCTAATGAAGGATTTGTGCAACAATTAAAAAATTTACAATTCTCAAATATATTGTAACATATAAATCAAATGATAATGTATTATGTTAAAATTTATTTCTGTAAAGAATGAAAGGAAAAAATAACACTGTTTTAACAATAGATTAATTATATATATATATATTATTACAGTACAATTCATGTATCATAACATAATGTGTACAGAGAATATTATTTTATAATTACAATTACTTTGTATTTATAATTCATTAAAAAAGGTACATTCATGCACAGCATCTATCAAATTTTTAGCCAAAACTAAGCATATTAAAATTGCTAATTCTGGCATTTTTGTATAAACCATGCATTAGAGATGACATATAAGTCGTCGTACCAAGTAGTTTTATAAAAATTACTGTAAATCTAAAAAATATAGATGAATTTCTGTATACATGATAGTATCTATTATTTTATGTGTGATAATAGTATATTATTGTACCTGTAGTACAATAGCTATCATATCGATTATATATAATAATGTAATTATTATCAATATTTATATAGTGTATACATATATATGTGTGTATATATATGTATATTTATATATAATTATGTATAATCTAATATTCACATTCCTCCAACAATTGAAATGAGCTGTCTTGAAGAAAATAGACAAGGCACTTGAACCGAATATCTTTTTCTTAGCTAGTTGGCCTCATAAATAGTAGAATGCAAAAATTTGCACATCATACAGCAAACAGTAAAATAGAAATAATAAATAAAATCAGCTATTCAAAGAACATGACGTATCGTTTGCATTATAAATATCCATGATTATTTTTTTTAATATGGCGCCAATAATTTTGTGTTTTATTTTTAACTGCATAAAAGCAGTAAAAAAATAAGTCCTTCTAAAGATTTGTTCCCCCAATACACAGTAATAATCACTAAACACTTCTGCTTTTCTTAAATCCAGCATTTAATAATATACATGATCATTTATATTTTGTTGGCAGATTTGTTCGCTTTATAGCACACTGAAATTTGAAGAGTATAAAGCGATTTTATTAATTATACTAATTATAAAAAAGCAGGAAATTATACCTAGGAACGTTTTCCTTAGAAAGACCTCAAAGCTTTACATTTCACAAAAAATTTGTATAAAGACTCTAATATTATTGTGATGTGATTCCACTTAAGTCCAACGTAACAGAAAAAAATGCAATTTATATGTACAAAAAATATAAATAAATTAACAAAACATGCTTGGTTAAACGCAAACATATTTAACCACGCAATCTATACGGATAGAGACAATCTGAGAAATATATAATATACACAAAAAATTAGTTCCTACGAAGCCACAGTCTTAAGTACAACATATCTGTACCTGAAAGGCATATCAGCAGAAATAAAAGTAATGAAATTAGATGTTCCTTTGACGAATGAAATCACGCGCAATTTGCGTCTGACTGTATGTGTGAATATTTCTAACATGGCAATCAACTTAAAATCATGCGTTACAGTTACAGATACATAGATAATTAGTATATGAACTGTAAATATAAACACCATCGTCAAACGTTATGTAGTAAACCAGTATCAGAGTCCAATAGAGTGGCCAGGTCGTATGCAGCAACATCAGTAATGGAACAGGGAACCACCTAGCACTAATGTATGTACCCTTCTGTATGGTTTGTCAGAGGAAAGTTATCATATATTGTTATCTTATACGTATTTAAGTATTAACGTTTCACACCCCAAGGACCATCAGGATTAGTTACAGGTACGTGAGAATATCCTGCAAATTGTGGAAATTCTTCAACGCTAGCCGTATTTGGAGCACTTTGTTGTTGCTGTTCCCAAGGTCCTCCTTTTACTACAAATCCAGAATTTCCAGAATTTCTTTCATCACGTTGAGGTGAACGCAAGTTTTCACGATATTCATTTTCAATAACATCTTGAATCTGAAATTTAATAAATAAATAAATCTTTCCGACACATTCAGAAATGTGTATATAATTATAAATGATTATATACACATTTCATGACAAACTTACATATTCTTCTTCCAGATTTAATAAACGATCCTTAGCATCAGCTACATTCTCTTCTGTACCAACAATTGTTACAATATTAGGATCAGGATCAGTTTTTCTTGGAAATTTAATATCAACTTTAAACTCATCCATTATTTTACGAATATTTCTTCCCTTCGAACCAATTAAACGAGAATGCACAGCAGCATTTATATGTACTTCTTCTTTTGTTAAGCCATTCTGAATTATATGAGAAAAAAGCAGTTTTCATTAATAATTATCATATACAAAAAGTATATAATATTTCAAACAAATAATATACTTACTAATTCATTAACAATTTTCATGATATCATCTCTTGCGGTGCACGCATTTTTTTCATAACCAGTAATTGTAATAATATGTTCTTCTGGATCACCTTTGCGTGGGAAATTAATTTGAACATCATGATCACTACGTATTTTATTAATCACGGCTCCTTTTCGTCCAATTATCTTCGGATGATATTCTGGGTCAACTTCGATCTAAAATGTGTTTTATTTTAAAATGTTTATTCATCACGAATACAAGCAAACGTACCTTTAACTCGAACGATTTTAAAGCTCTATCCTGACGTTCAGCTTCCAAAGCTTTACACTTATCCAAAATAGCTTGTTTTGCATTTTCAACACACGATGGTGTTCCAGAAATCTAAACAGAATAATAATGTAGCATTAAATAATTAGTAAATATTATATTTCATTTTGATATTCATGTTTCATTTGACTGTTGCATAATACCTTAATATAATCAAGTTTTTCCTCTGCTGGAGACAACATGATATGAACATCATATGTAGTCATTAGTTCTCGCACATCACGACCTTTCTGGCCTATTATAGAACGATGGAGATCAAATGGCACCTCCACCTAAAAATGACATAATCCATACAATTCTTTGCTACTTGTCAAATTTTTCAATATATAAATTTACTGATAAAAGTACTTCTATTGTAATTGGTACAAGATCAAGCAACGCTTGTTTAGCAGCAGCTACATTCTCTGGTTGTCCAGTAATGCGAATAATATCACATGCTGGAACAGTTTCGGCAACTTCTCCATTCTCACCATTCATTTGTTCTGCTACACGCTGTTCATCTAAAATTAAAAACTTTGTAACCCTTTGTCTAAAAAAACCTTCACATACTATATTATTTTATATACTAACCATACGTATCCCGATCAGGGAATTTAATTTGTACGTCATATTCGGATGTAATCATTTGCACTTTACGTCCCTTTGCTCCCATCACTGTACGATGATGCTTTTGCGGTATTATGCATTCTTCTGTTACCATTGATTCCTAAGAAATAGTACGTACAATTTATTCGTAAAATAATTACGAAAAGAAATAAAAAAAAAAAATAAGTTACAAAATTTACCAATTCTTGAACAATTTCACGCATACGTTGCTTTGCTGCTTCTATACATTCATGTGATCCTTTTAAAATTACACGATCACTATCAACACCAGCTCTTGGAAAAGAGATTTGTACGCCACCGCATTCGTCTGCAATACGATGTAATACACCTCCTCTCCGAGCAACAAAATGTCTATGATGCTTTGGATCAATGCGAATTTCACCTTCAGTAATATTATCCTATAAAACAAATGGACATAAACAATTTGAAATGAAATGTATAATGAAATTTTAATTAAAAACGAATCTTAAGATAATTAAAAATAAAGTTAATGAAAACTTACAATTTCACTAATTGTTGCTTCTAATTCAGCTTTAGCTTTCTCGACAGCTTCCTTCTTTCCCATAATTGTAATTACTTCTTTATCTTGATCTTCTTCTGTTGGGAATATAATACGTGCCCCCGTAGATTCTCTTATCTAGAATAAATGTAATACGCTTGCAATTATAATTAATATATCATTATATAGTATAAGATATACTAATAAGTAATTAACATGAAAACCTTTTTAATATTGGCACCATTTTTTCCAATAAGGAATTTGTGATGTTGTACTTTGGCACGTACTTCAACTGAATAACTCGACAATTGTTTTTCATTTGTAAGTTCAAGTAATTGTTGTTTCGCCTTCTCAACATCTTCTTTAGGCCCTCTAATAGTTACCTATAGATAACATATCTACGTTAATATTCATATGTTCAATCTTGGCTTGAATTAAATTTTTTACCTTATCACTTCGACTCTCTGCTGTAGGAAATTTAATTGCAACACCGCCACAATCTTCCATGATAGAATGAATTAACTTTCCACCAGTGCCAATGAGAGAATTATAGAACTTCGGTGGAATTACTATTTCATCCGTAATAATATTGGCCTAATGCAAAAAATAATAGAATTAAGTCAATTTAATATTTTTAGTATAATACGAGGATCAGCTGAAATGAACTTTCATTTGTATCTCCAAAATGAAGTTACAGCTCTTTGAATTTTCATTTTTTTTTTAAATTGAAAAGGACTCTCAAGAATATTCATTTCAAATCGGACGATGAAATTAAAGCAATAGTTCCTTTTATCAAAAGTATAGCCCAAACTCGTCGTTGATAAAATGAGAAAATCACCCGTTGGTAAAAATACATCGAAATTAACGGCGATTAAAAATAAATATAGTATTATAGAAAAATACATATAGTTATTTTGTATTTTATTGCTAATAAATCATACTTTCATTTTCTCATTTTCATTTTGATAGTTACTTCCGTTCTCGAGATACAGATAAAAATGTATTACTTTTTATTCGACTCTAATTACCAATTCATTTTGTATTTTTTGAATCATATCTCTAGCTTTTTCTACATTCTCTTTTTTGCCGGTAATAGTTATAACATCACTTTTCTCGCCTTCGGCAGGTAAATCAATTTTAGTTTGTGTCTCTTCTCTAATCTAAATTGCAAATAAAGCCAATAATTTTGTCTGTAATTTATGCTTTAAACTAATTAAAATAAGATATTTGAATACCAACTTTACGAATGTTGACTCCGCCTTTTCCAATAACAAACTTATGAAATTGCTTGAATATAGGTACTTCTAAGACATAATTATTTTCGTTCAATTCTTTTACTAATTTCATTAAATACTTATGGCACTTATCTACATCTTCTTTGGGCCCTCTAATTTTTACTATATCTCCTTTTTCACCTATAGATAAAAAACTTTTTAAATCATTTCTTTTCGATTTTTTTTACATTTTCTTTTTATAAATATATTACTGCTTAAAATTATAATTTTCGTATCATTATATGAAATATATAAACAAAATTTTTAAGAATAAGATATAAGAATAAGAATAATAAATAAATTTTTTTAACTTTTCCAACAATTTTTAAATTAGTGGTCCCATTTAAAACAATGAGGATACGTTACAATAGAAAACGATAAATATGACCTACACTCTAAATATGCACTGAGCTCTCATTGGCTGGGTGCCAACAAGGGCTGAGGTCTTTTAAATGTTTGTACCTGGCATAAATCCGAGTTCTAGTTATTACATATATCATGCTACATACCTGGGCCAGGAATAGTAATCTGTACTTGATTGAACTTATCTCTTATTTCTTTAATGTTATCTCCCTTATTTCCAATAATACTAGGATAATAACGATGATCTATTATCACATCTTTCTCTTTTTCATTTTCCAATTTTTTCACCATTTCCACTAATTCCTATAATAAATTCAAATATTAAAAAATTCAGTTTATGCAATATTTATTAAAAAATTCAGTTTATGCAATATTTATGACACATGAAAGAAATACCACAAACCGTTTGAGCTTTGAGCACACCAGCAAGATTTCCTTCAATACGAATCACGTTACTACCATCATTCTCAGAAATATTAATTACAACACCTGTTCCTTCCTTTACACGATTCACTATTAAAAAAAAGAAAAAAAAAAATTTAAGAAGAAATAAAATAATTAAAAGACTGTCACAACAATTGTATTTTAAAAAACATACCATTGCATCCATTCTTTCCAATAATATGTTTATAAAATCTAGGATCAACGTTTAATTCTGTAAAAGTGAGCTTAGATATAAGATCACTAGCCATTAATTGAAGTTCATTTTGTGCCTTTTCTACTTCTTCAGGAGGACCTTCAATTTTGATTTTATCTTCTTTCCCAGTAAATTCTACATTCACTTTTGGCATTTCTTGCGTGATTCTTTTAATATTAACTCCTTTCCTTCCTATTATGTACTTATGAATCCAAACTGGTGCTTTTACCACGGCCGTACGAACACTATTCGCTTTTTCGTACACTTTGTTTAATGCTATAATATTGGATTAAAAAATGGATTAAAATAAAGAAGTATCATAATTATCGTAAGTATCATAAGCTTCAAATTACCTTGACCAAGCTTTTCCTGAGGACCGCGAAGAGTAATAGTACCTGTAGGAGAATCTGATGCTGGCATTTCTACACTCACACCAGTTACTTGTAATATTTCTGCTATTGTACTGCCACGTGGGCCAATAACATATTTGTGCTGAGATTTTGGAACTTCAACTGATACCGTTGTACATCTCTTTTCCTAAATCAGAAATATAAGTTTAACTCTAAAACGCATAATTTCTTGATAATTTTTATGCAATCGCTTATACCATATCTCTATAAATGGCTTCAATTTTTTGCTTTGCCGCTAAAACACCTTCTTTTTCACCAGCAATGGTAATTTCATCCTCTTGCACAGAAGCAGGTGGAATATTAATTCGAGCACCAGTTTCTGCCATCATGGCATTGAGATTCTCATTATGTGCACCATGTATAAACGGATGATATATTTTTGGCACAGATATTCTTTCAAATGCTTTTCTTGACTAATGAAATATTGTATGTATATTATATATATGTTAGATCTATTAAATATAATTTAATTAAAGTATAATACTTTTACTTACTTGTTCATCTGAAATTACTCTAATTTCATGCTCAGCTTTCTCTATGCCTTCTTTAGTTCCTGTAATAGTTATTGTATCTGACTGATCTTGCACAGATGGAACATTTATTTTCGTTGCAGTCGTTTTCTCTAAATCTTTCAGACGCTGCCCTTGTTTTCCAAGAATCCAACGATGATGGTCCTTAGGAATGCTAATTTGTTTACTTGCCTAGTGGTCAAATGAAAATTTCATATTGTTACAAACATTTTAATTTTATCTTAACATAAAATTTATTTATAACACAAAACCTGAGTCTGAAATGTTGTTAAAATTCGACGTTTGGCTTCCAATACTTGATTTTGTTTACCAGTTATTAGGAATGTTAAAGATTGATCTTTTGATGTTGCTATTTCAATGATTGTATTTGTCTCTTTCATTATTGTTTTACATGTACGTATGGATTCGCGTTCTCCAAATTTGTCACTATGATCAAATTTGCGTTCTTCTCCAGGTACACGAAACATCTAAACAGCAAAATAATAAGAATACAACTATGAAAAATACTATGTCTATTACAATCAAATAATTTACCTGTGTAATAGTTATACGTCCAAGTTGTAAGTTATTATTTATAGAGAAAATATTTAATCTTCCTGAACTTGAACTGGCTGACTCAGGAAGAACTGGGAATGTCTCATCATAGGTAGGTGGCTCATAGGCCGTTCCCTCTTCCATTACTGACTGTTGCATATTGGGGTTGTCCTTTTTCGTGCCAAGTCCTTACAGTAGCACTGTAATCAATACACTTAATTTATATTTCTTGAAATAAAGTTGACGATCAATCAAATACAAAAAAAAATTATTTAATTCATTGTCACATTTAATAATATTTACATTTATATTTAAAAAATATACTGATAATCATGGTGTTGTATATAAGTGAAAATTTAACTTCAACTTCATATTTAAATTCTTAAAAGTATGGTGAGGACACAATGAACATTTTATAGCAATAAACACTAAAATTTACAACAAAATACCAAAGGACTGTGATACTTAATCTTTCATATACATGTAACATACGTTTCATTTCATTATCATTACATCAATTAAACTGATCGTTTGAAAATTGAAAAATTTGAAAAAAATATGAAATTCAGACAGAAGTGAAAAAGAAAACGACCACGGGAGAATAAAAAAAAATTATATAAATTATATACACATATATATATATATATACACACATATATACAATAAATTTTTACAGGAATTTGAACATTGTAAAATTTTTCTGCAGAATTCTTTCTAATATCTTTTAACATAAATCCTCAATCGGTGATTTTTCGGTTGACGAGTTTAGTAAAAATTGGCGAACGGCAATGGAAATTCGCAGAAATTGATACATTGAAGGGAAAATAAGAGAACAGATTCAAGTTAAATGCCAGCATGTCAATGACCACAGAGTAGTTGAGCTAGTGACCACCATATGGAATGAAGTATTCACTTGACACGTCACAAGATCGCTAACCTTTCCGAAATGAATGCATGCACGTTGCATAGATCAAAAATAGTACTTGCGTATTTCTACATCGAATTAAGAAACGGGTGATCTAAAGGCTGTTGCCGTTATATCCACAGAGAGAGAGAGAGAGAGAGAGAGAGAGAGAGAGA